ATTTATGTGTGTCACGATCAAATCATTGAAAAAATGAAAAATATGGGTGGGGGTTTATCGTGAATTTTGATATTTGAGCGAGCATTTGAAAAGTTGGTGAAAGATGGTGCCAGATTTGTAACTAGCAATGTTTCATGTGATGTGTATGTAATCGCTCCTAAAATTTAAGGTTTTACTAACAAAGATTCTCCTCACACTTTCTCTCTCTCTCAGAACATTAGATTAAAAGAAGAGAAGAGGTATGGTGATGGATTGTCCCATTCAAGTGAATTTAATTTTCCAAACCTAATGTTTTGTTTAGGCCTATAATTTATCTAAGTTAATGAAGTTCAAAACCTATCCAAAAGTCAATAGTTGAATATTAAATTTTCAAAATGGAAAACCAAACGTTACTTCAAAATCAAATCAAACCAAACCAACTAAATGTGAATGGTTTGATTTGGTTTTTTTATTTTGACCGAAGAATGCTCACACACAACTTTAATCATATGCGACCCATGCACTTCAAGTTTTTAGTCAGGAAAACACGCCTAAGGTAATGCTTGAACTTCTTGTTAAAATCCTTAAAAGTTCATGATCAATAATATAAATAAGAGCATCTTTGTGAGTGCTCTAATGGCTTTCATTGATAAAGTTCAACTATTCAAGGAGGGCCTCTTTGATAGGATGCAACATATCTATTTTCTCACTTTTAAAACTCTAGTTTTTTTTTGGTGCCCCTCATAAGCTTTAGTCATCTATTTAAAGATAAAATTATATTAAAAACCTAAAATTCTTACGAATGACCAAAGAAATTGAATTTGAGAAAATTTTATCATTATCATAATGAAAATTGCCATAAGATTAATGACTATCAAAAATTGACTACTTTAATAATATAGCTCTTTAAAGATAGTTGCAAGCCTTTTTTTTTTTTTTTTGATAATATGTGCTTTTATCCTGTCATTGCGTTGTATAAACCATACTTAAACTAAATGTCCTTCAAAATATGACTCTCATTGGGCTTAAAAGCCTATACTCATAACCTTATGTCACTGAATGACCGATAGATGATATTGATGTGACATATTCTATTTTGTTCTTCATAGATTGTACTTTTCATATTTTTTTTATCATTCTTTGACATAACGAACATAAAAATGGTCATATGACTTAAGTGACTAGCATGGATGAACTGAACCATGACTTATTTATATCTAAGCCTCAATGGCTTAACTCCTATAATGAATAGTTAGGTCAATTTGGACTTACCTTTAGCTATTGTGACCCACCTTATTAAAGGTTGGGAAAACAAAGAAGATCGATATAGTACTTAGAACCAATAGCAAGTAAAGAATCTATTAGAATACTAGCATCTCCAAAGATCCTACATGCTCATGCTGACCAACTTTTCTTAAATTAGTTACTTTAGACCCATCTAATTAAAACCTAATTATTCTTAAGAAAATGTACAGTGTTGAACTAAGCTTCATCTCTAGCTATTTTATGAACTGGTTATGATTCAAAATTCAATTAAAGAGAAATTAAGTTATTCTTAATATGCTTTAGATCCTTACAGCATAATTTTATGACATGACCTTTTAAGTTTTTCATTAAACAAATTTCGCTCATTAATGCTTCAAATGGCCCATTGATGTTGACCTATACTACACATTCTTGATGGTATGGTCAAACACATATCAATTCAATGAAATCTCAAGGCTCAACTCATGGTGGACTAAACGTATTAGGCATAATAAACCAATTTAGGTGCAATTAAACTCATAGAGCAAATTCAACTTTTAAATTCACTTAAGTTTGATCCATAATAATCATATGAGTTTAGAAGAAATTCTAACATTTTCAATTGGTGCACTCAAACTAGGTGCGCTTACTGATCCCGATAGTTTTTATATGTAAGGATTTATGAAGTTGACACCACTACTTAAAGATTTTAATCCCCAGTAATGACACCAAAAATTTGATCCCAAACTTGATCCCAAGCAAAGTAAGATTTCAATTATATTTTTAGGGATTCTACGCAATTATATGTATCGTTATCAAGTAATATAGGGTTTTCTGATTATGCCCCGAATATCGATCCCACGGAGATCGAGGTTAATCACGACGGCTTTCAAGAGAAGTTCTAGTCTAGAATAACACACCCTAGCTTGGATAAAGGTTTGATTTTGATTATATCTTACAATTATCACTATAATAATAATTCTACTCCTAAACTAAAATACTTAGTGAAAATCAGAAAGTGGGGTTTAATGTATTAAAAGTATTCTTCCTCATGCAATGAAATTAGTGACGTGTAAAAGTAAAACAAGTATTGAGAGAGATTATGACAAATAAGAACAATTATATTCTTTACCATTACTAGAGATATTATAAAGAACACTAGTTAATCTAAAGTTCAAATAGTTCTGAAGACGGGCTAGGAAAGAAAGATACTAGCTTTCACTCAAGAGTTCCCTCTTATCTCTCCACCTGGAGGCTAACATCTCGCATCAAAACCTAAAACAATAGACCAAATTAGGGGCCTTTAGTCTGTCACTCTAAAGTTCTCTAATTCTACACCAATTTAAAGATTACTCCCCTATTTATTTGCACTCAACCATATGGACTACATTCTCATCCATACAATCTCATGTGATTCTACCACAGTTGATTGAGACAACACCATCCCGGATCTTACATGTTCTCACAATAGATTTTAACATGAAAGTTGATCAAGTTTACATGTAAATGAAGAACAAAGTAAAATCATCACAATATATTCTCACTCTACACAATTCTATATCCTGAACATGCATACTAATTCATTATAAGAGAGAAGAGTAAGGAAAACTACTCACTATACATGGAGAAACAACAAGAACTTTTCATTGAAAAAATCTTTAAAACCATACAAACAAAGTACTAAATTCAAATAAAAATACCATGAAAATACTTATATTTGATGTAAATCAAACTCTCCTTGTATAACAAAAGCAATCTCTTTACAATCCTCTCCAAGAACAAAGTGAAAAGAAAAGAAGAAATTCTCACACTCTCTTTTTATCTCACCTTGTCGCCCCACTTGGGGCTCACGCCCAAGTCTTCTTCCTCTTCTCCAAGCCTTCTTCTCCTCTTTCTATTGATTTAAGAGTTCCAAGAGTTATTTTAAAAATATTTTCAAGCCTTATTTATAATTTTCTAAGAGATACTTAAGTGTCTCTTCAAAACTGTTCATATTCAATGAATCTTCCAAAAGGTGTCTTAAGTGACTCTTCATAACTCATTATAACCGCCCCAAAATCTTCTAGAAAGTCTCTTTTATCATTTGCAACAAATTCTCTAAGAGATGCACGAAGCACCGCTTCAAAAATCGTCCAAATCTGATGTATATTCTAGAAGATATGTTGGAGACTGTCTTTGGAGCCTTAGCGTCATTTTTGGGCCCTTAAGCGCCCTCCTCTCTTTCTGGTGGGGCCTAAGCGCCGAGCACATGCACTTAAGTGCCTGGTTTCGGTCCCCATGGCTCCATTGTGCCCCGGTTCGACCTGATTTGCTCCATTTTGCTACATTTTTGTTCCTTTTTACTCCAATCACTCCAAATTCTTCAATTTGATGTATCTACAACCAAAAACACAAGAAAACATACCTTTAAAGTGCAATATCATCATAAAATATATCATGAAAAGTAGTACATTTTTAGGCGTATCACTTACTTCTTTACATTTTAGACTAATTGGATTTCATGCATATTAATGGACTCAAGTGTAAACTAAGGTTAGCTTTCAATTGATAAACCAAACCCAAATTAACTAAACATACATGTTTAAAATATAAACTAGGCACCCATTGCTAATACTTAGGTGCTACTCTGGGTATTCAAAGCATTAAGGCACCAAATCCTAGCAATTCAGTTCTAAGCTTTCTATTATAATTTTTAATTTTAGCACCTAATGCTTTGAGTTTAACATATAAGAACTTGTCTATTGATTGTTGTACATTTTGTTGATCCTTATCCATTTTCACCACTATGCATTGTCTCTTCCTTCTCGGTTTCGATGAAGAATGAGATATGATTAATCACTAGTCAAGACATCCTTAGGAAAAAAAAATGTTTTTAAAATAAAGTGGTGGAATGATTTTCCTTGTTTAATCAAATCACTATCACTTGATTAAAATAATTACCCAACCATTAAAAATTAATTTTTAAAACATCCAAGGCATCTCAAGTTGTGCATTGAGCAGAGGATGACTAAAGAGTTATCTAATTAAAATCTCCCCCACAAAGATCTGTTTCATCAAATCTAGTAAATCTAAGTGATGTTGGGAAGAATAGAAGACCATGATACCCAAAATCTGAGAACTCCATATTTACTCCAACATCTTATGATGGCTATGCAACAACAAAATTGCAATGTAATTTTGACAATTTTAAAACTTTAAGCACTATGTAAGCACTAAAAATGTAAGATAAGCAATGAAAATAACACATGATTTTAAATTGTTTAGCTCACTTGTCACTCACAACATATTATGTTCTTCTATGAATCCTTAAAAACCAAAATGCATGTGAATGAAACAAATTCATAGTCTTTCAAAACCCTAAGAGCAAAATCAAAATTAAACTATAAATGCGACTAATGATTAGAGCTACTCAATAATGTAAACCAAGAATAATGAAGAAATAAAAAAGATCCTACAACATAATAAAGACCACTCTTGCACCTTCACTTAGCTAAAAGATCCCAACATGAACATCAAAGGTGCATTGCTTACCTATATTAAAAGAACTCTCCTCTTCACCAATACAAGCTTATGTTCAAAACCTAAAAAAATCCAATTTGGCTCAATTTCGTGTGTGAAACCCAAAATTTGCCAACTAACACTTTCATACCTCCATTCATAAAATCAATATACATATATATAAATGATTATGTTTAAAGCACAAAAACAAAATAAGGAAAATTAGCAATAAGCCCACAAGTCTAAATTTCAATAAAAATAAATAAAATTGCCTTCAAGCAAAATGGTTGATTTTAATTTCACAATGCATTACTTCCAACTTCACAAGGTGAATTGAGTTTAGAATAGCATAACCATTCAAAAAGCATAATTAACCATAGCATGTAAATTTGACTTTTTATTCAGCCACATCAATGAATAAAAAGCACATTAGTTTGCTTTTCAAACTGGTAGGCAGACAACGAAAAGGGCAAGTGCAATGGAGTGGAAGTGGCTTTAAAAGAAGGCTAATACCTGAATTCCATATCCAACTGAAAACTTTAAAGAAACTAACAAGGTATGACCTTTGAGCATGATTCTACTAGGGATTATTTTGCTTCGTTGCATATTGAATAAAAAAACCAAGCTGCTGCATACAAAGCTTTCTTCTGCATCTCCTCACTTCCTCCTTACAAACTCTGTCTCTATCATCCTCTCCGTACAAGTTTCCTCCCCTTCTCTCTCCAGATGACCCCAAAAAGAAAACATTTGGCAGCTAACTTGCTCTTTATAACCTTGTCTCCAAGATCCTTTAGATAAGTGTTTTCTCAGCATCCCTCTTCAGCAGAACCAAAAAGTTGGCTAAGATCCGAGATCCATATTGAAATGTTAATTAATTGTGAACTATAGCATTGAAACTTATGAAGAATAATAATCATCGGTTTCATTTTAGATTGAAACATATAGAAAAAAACATTGCAGGTATAAGTTAAGAGCAGGATTCACTAGAAATTAATTCTCATCACATGTGAAATTAATTCTCATCACGTGAGAAATTAATTTTCATTACATGTATAACTAGATATCAAGCCTGTGCGCATAGAGCCTTATTTTCTTCTTCAATTTCTTCTTCCCACTTTCAGCCACATTTTCATCATCTACTCCACATGGCTTCTCCCTTTGCCCCTTTGCAATTGAGCCATTAAGAGTTATTCGGAAAGATAAGGGACCCAATATTGGAACATAAATCATAGGACTATAGGTTTAGGCATGAGCAACAGAAACAGTCAATGATTCCATATCAGATTGAAAACTATAAAGAAAGCATCACTATCAGTACGAACGCAGCATGATCTGCTTGGGATTAGTTTTCTTCATCATGTATGGAACCAGAGATAAATCTGCGACTTTTAGCTAACCCTTTTCCTTCCTAATGGTGTGTGATAAATTGAAAAGCTACGATTCATGAGGTAGAAATATGAAGAACAGAATGAATAAAAACATGATATAGGTAAATTGATTTAGGTGGTTTGAACAAATACATTGAAGGGAAAAAGATGTACAAATAAAAAGACTAAACAGAATCAACTTGAATTACTTAGGATATAAAATAATAAGAGAGAATCTACCATATATAAACTTTGTGCAAAAATATTTATAGAAAAACCAAATATCTTATTTCAAAATAAACATCACTAAAAAAAAGATCCATGCAATCATACCCAACTTCCACAAAATAATAACGTGGATCATAAATTAAGCATAAATAATTAGATATGACTATAAGGATCTGTTTGGGGCAACCGCAACTTAAAAATAAACTGCTGCATAGAAGTTGTTGCAGATAAGCTGGCTGACTGTTTATTTTTTACAGTATAAAAACAATTGTTCTACAACTATTTTTGGACAAATGAGATTCTGTATAGTAATGTTGTTTACAACAGAACTGTTTATGCCAGTATATTTCATACTCGAGAAAAAATATTCAGTGCAAAACATTATAAATTAAAGATAAACACCTCACTAAAAGTTAGTAGCGTGACTACCAAAATTAAGAAAATGAATATTAAAATAACAATTAATAATATGATAACATTATTTTTAAAATATAGATAGCGTATGTTCATGAAATAAGTCATCCTCTATGGATACTCTTCACTCCTGAACACTCTCGGCAGTAGAATCTTCCAGCCGATTTGTCCACCGAAAATAGTCACAATTTATGTGATTCTCCATGGTTATGTGACTCACGCGAAGTGAGCAAGGAACACTGAAGTCCACAATAACAGTACAATCCTCTAAAGGTGCCGAAAATCCTCGAGCTCATCCTGCTTGAAGGCTTAAAAATAAAAACTCTTAGACATAACACTAACAAAAATTAATAACAAAAATAATTAGTTAAAATTTTATGCAGCTGTGAGATCTCAAAGAACTCAATATATAAACCAACGAATCTATCACTACAAGAAGACAACAAACTTTATAAAAAAGGGGTTCTCGGTTGCCTTTTAACCCAAAAAATGTCAAACTCGTCTATGTCACATATGCATATTACCAAAAAAAGATCATTCAAAAGAACCTCTAAAACCATAACAGCAAAAAAAAGAGGAAATTTATTGTCTTCATTAGGATTTCACATGTGACACCAACAAATAGTGACATACAAGTAATCCAGAAGAACTAATTAAATCAGACATCTCATCATAGACATCCAAAACTCACAAAAAAACAAAAGGAAAAAAAAAATATACAACTTCAATAAAAAAAGAACCGCAATAAATATCAAATGCATAAAGAACAGAATTATACACTAACTGTATAAAATATTGATACAATAAACAGTGAATCTCTTCGACCACATTGCGGTTTGGGCTGAGGCCTTTGTTAAAATCACCTGTTTAATAAGCAGCTAAATTTGCAGGGGTGTCACCAAACCTCGCCTCACTGGGGGCACATGTACGATCTAACTTCTCTTCCGGCTCAGGATTGATGCCACTACATTTAAATTTTCTTACGATTGATACCACCTACAAATTCAATTGCCATGTTGATGGATGATGGACTTAAAAAATATATAAACATGAACAAAAACAGCGAATGTTTCAAAAATGTTCACTGTCAGTCTTGTCGGCACTATTTTTGGTGTGGGGTTTGCCCGTAAGAACCTGTCGGTCATCGGAATTAAAATCCCGTTGCCCGCTTCGGAAGGACATTAAAAAAAAAAAATAATTTTGAAAAAGATGAAGTGAAACTGACCCCATAATTTTCATAATTTAGATGAAAGAGCGTTTTACCTCAAATCCTGTATTTATCCCGAAGGATGAACACAAGAATTGAGGGTGAGGCTCGATCAAATAAACTAGAGAAAGTTATGACATCCGTTTGGTCTACGAAACCAATGTATTGGCCGACAAATTCCCCTATTTAATATAAAGAATTAAATAGGGTTTATATTATGCTGGGTTCGGGAAAAGCTTCCTATAAGGGCAAGCCCCTATAGTTAATTACATCTTAGGTAACAAAAGTTACTTAAGAATACTCTCGATAAAAATAAAAAAAAATTACCTT